ATCTGATTCAGTGTAAAGAAAAAGTAGAGTCAAAGAGAGAACCAGGTTGGTACTTTGTTTGTATAAAGTTATTCATAGCTTCACAGACTCTTATGCTTTTCTTTTAGTTCTGTTCGTCAAACAACTCCTATATTTTATTGTGTGGTTTACCGTTGTAAGTCGAAGAATTTGATACCGAATAAAACTTTATTGTCTTACAATGTCATCCCATTGAGATTTTCATTGACCGTTTACAAGATGTAACGTGTTTCTAAAAACCTTATTCAAGATTTTTCGAGATTGGTACCATTAAGGATCAAAAGGAATCCTTTGGGTGTCGTCAAGTGATGATACGTTTCTAAAAGACGTATCACGGATGAATTTTTAAACGCCATTACAGATGAGAATAATTGTGAGTTAATGAGAAAACAAGGAACAATACTAATTAAAGTGGGCGGCAGCTCTTTGTCTTTGTTTTTTGTTTTCAGTTTTTTTTTAAAATTTTTATCTCAGTCGCTAACACACTGGCATTCCAATGCTCGGATCGACACGAGACACTAAAACGATATTTGTTACCTCTTTTATTTCAGTAAATATACAATTAGCGTTCTGATAGTTCGTTACATAATCTTACAAAATTTCATATTTTGAAAGTAGGGCCATTACTTCTGTAGAATATCCGTAAACGGCATTAGCGGCAGAGATGATCCAAGCAACTATTCTAGGCTGTGTTATCAAAGATACGGTTTAAAAATGAGATGATTATGTTTACAATCCTAAATATTTTTCAGTCAATCTTTACAAATCTCTTTTATCGGTGAGACTAAAACTTCGCAGTGGCTTGAGATTACTGTGATGTGGTCTGGCCTGTTTACTGGGAATTGGGGAGGGGGCATCTTCAAATAAGTTTCCTTCGATTGTTTGTAAACTGCTGATGCAGTCCGGCCAAAGTCCCCCGAAAAGTGTTGTGATGCGCATTTGATCATATCCACATGTTAATTTGCGTAATATAAATATTCAATTATTATTATTATTAGTGGTCCCGTCAGCCGCCATTTTCATATTTGCTGCTCCCACTTTCGCTGGAACTCATGGGAATTTTCAGTTCTTTAAGTCGACTGGCAGAAAAAAAGAAAACAGTTTGCCTCTCCAAAAGCTGGAATGTCTTTTTCCCGGTGAGCACGCTCCATAGAATGATTAAAAAAAGGTGTGCCTAAATAGCCCATTTCCGAATTGCCTTTAGCCTCTTTTTCAAAGCGAGTCCTGGTGCTCATCCTCCGTATGGTAATAAGTTTTCATTCACATGCTAAATTAAACTCATTTTCATACGTACGGTTGAGCACCAGGCCTCGTTTTGAAAAAGAGGCCAAACGTAATTCGGAAATGGTCTAAAACTTCTTATTCTAACATCCATAAAAGGATAATTCTTATAGTTCATGGTTGAACTAAGACAGTTATCGTTTCTGTTGTGCAGGTGGTTTTAACTGCACAAAATTCAATTCATTTGCTATTACAGATTTACATAATGTAGATATCAAAAGAAAAACTCGCTTAAGAAACAATCGCATCCTGCCCGTAGTTATAAGTGGATAAAATTTATGGACAGCGACATAGACGTTAAAGTTTTCTTTAATATGGCAGTATGCTCTATCAGTTTTTCCAAACAGGTAAGAAAAAAAATTATCTTATGCTCTTAAACAGGTGAGACGTCAGACTACTACTTGGTTACTCAACCCTGAAACTTGGAAAAAATAAAACTAGTTTTAACTGACAGAAAGACTGCTGATACTCACTTTCTAGTTATGTAACCCGTTCGTAAACCTTGTGAAAATTTAGTGAAAAATACCTTTTTCCAATAGTGCAAGGTTCCCCTTGATTCCTTTGCGGTCGTACCACACTTGAATTATGTTTTGCTGCGACTCTCGGTCGAAGTGTTGTCTCGTGTTTTTGTCTCATATCCACAAGTTTCGCGTTCGTTTCTTACATCATCGCGTGAACTCCAAACGTACTTCACGGAAATTTCCACCTCTCAATGACGAATTGAGTTTACGCTAATCAAAGTTTTGCGTTTTCTAAAATTGGAATGACACCGAGGGACGTGTGACATCAGCTGACATGAGTTGCAAACCATCCATTAACGTCAATCGAGTCAGTGTGATCAAGTCGCTTCGCAGCTGGGTGGTGAGTTTGCTGACAAACACCGCTCCGTGAGAATTTTTTTTTACAATCAAAGTTGACGATAGCTTGATACTAAAGCGTGGCGTATAAGCAACTTTGGCTAAAAAATGCCGCGAAAGCTAGAGTCTTAAGTTTGTGGGAGTGGTCTTTGCTTACAATGCTCTCGCGTAATTTAAAACGTAATTTAAAAACATCTATTAAAAAAACGTTTACAAAATACCGGGTTGGTTTTCAGAGTTCGTTTCAAATTGTATTATCCTGAAATGCATTCGAAATACGCCCCGAAACGTTCACAGGATACTCTCCCGAATTCCATATTTAGGGGTTCCACCTGCTTTTTGCACGCTTTACTCCCAGAGTTCCGTGCGGCGCTCTAACCTCAGTTCTCTTTTCAGATTTGTTGACTCGCGCAACGGACTTCAACAAAAAGCAGGATCTGCTCCTAGTCTAGGATTCCCAAAACAAGTTGAACACTTAATTCCGTTCCATAGAAAGACAAGTCGTTTTCAATGTCTCAGTGTTACTACACAAAGCTAACTTATTTACAGTAGTAAACCAGAGGTTTAGTCGGTGTATTCCATGACACTTTGCTCACGGTCAGGATTCAATTACTGAAGTTTCTCTGCTGATAGCAGATTAGGATGAGGTTTATGCAATATACTTGGGTCTTCCTCATCTATCAACTTCTCCGCGAATAAATTCACTATTAGCAGTTAGAGGTGGTGGTTACAACTCGGATTCAATACCTGATACTGGTAAGGCCAATTGGCCATTTCCGAATCATACTTGGCATCTTTTTCAAAACGAGGCCAGTTGCTAAACCATTCGTCTGAAAATGAGATTAATTTGCATGTGAATGAAAACTTATGATCACACGAACATAAGACAACCAGGACTCGCTCTGAAAAAGAAGCCAAAGGTAATTCAGAAATGGGCTATTTTAGAACTAATTCTTTGGCTTTCTCTGAGTTCACATGAATAAACAAATTCTCTTTTTAAGAGTTCACCATTTTCGTTAGGAAAAGGTACATGTTCAAATACACCGTGACAAGCCCAAAATAAATGTGTATTTATTATCCAACTACACTTAGACGAGTACAAATATCACGCTGTATTTTTACTCGTCTATCGTAGAGTACCGGTTAAACAGGTTTTCTCGCATCGCGCAAGCGAAGAAATGGATTGTAGTCACGGGAAAAAAAAAGGTGGCGGACGAATCCTATTTTCGACAACGAAGAGTCAGAATGGATGGCAAATTTAGGTGAAAGTTTATTAGATGAATCGAACGAAGAAAAACAGCTTGAAGACCAGAAAATTTCTTCATTTAATGAAGAAAATAGAAACAGCAACACGAGAACGCGCCGATTCCGTTCCGCTTTGCATACTTCTGTCACGCACTCCCCGTAAATAAATATCCGCGAAATTCGCCCGCACTGAAATAACAGTTTGGCGTGTTGGATAATAAATAACTTATTAAACGTTTTGTTGTGTAGTATCGCTGAGTATTTTCACTCGCTATTTGTATTTTGACTCGCCCTACGGGCTCGTCAAAATACGGCACAACTCGTAAAAATACTCAGCGATACTACACAACTAAACGTCTAATAAGATATATATTTTTTTTTTTGCAACTCCAGGTGCTGCAAAAGATCCCCACCGCCGTTACCTTGGGCCTTAACATTAACTTCAGTCGAATTCCTCTGGGTTAGAGAGAAAAACCGGGAAAAACGAATTAAACAACTTCATCTCACAATAGTTGGACAATATTGTTTACTTCAATTGTAAAATAAATATCCAAAGGTGTCGTGATTCTACGAGACATAATGCCTCTTATTAAATACAGACATACATACCTATACGTACAACTACAAATAAAGTAACTAGTGTCTACAATGGGCTTTTTGTGCATCAGCATCAAAATTTCCATACAACGTTTGTCTCTCTCCTCGAGAGACTTTGGGCACACTGTAATGGCTCTCTTACTCTTTTTTTTAATTCCCGAAATAATGAGATTTCTTATAAAACGAGAAGTTAAGAAATCTAACAAACTTTGATTAGTATGGATAAAATTTTTTTAAGCGTCGTTGCGCTGCAGTCATCTTTAATTATTCACTCACGAAGCTTTCTCGTAGGGGGGAGGGCAAGGATAAAAATGTCTCTCGGTAACAGGGTGGGGGAGTTTGTCAGGAGCATTCTTTAACCACCCCTACACCGTATCTTGTGCAATTATTTATATGCAAGATGGAAACAGGCGGCATAGTAAATTTGGGGCAAAAATACCGGGTGTGTTCTAATTTCTCAGTCCTCAGTTTCATAGGGTGTCGTACTCACGTCAACGTTCTTGTGAACGTTGATAAAGATAATAAATTGCTCCTTTTAGGAGTATCAGATAACGTTTAAAAAGAAAAAAAATACATAGAAATATTTCTCAACTATTCTTGATTTGGTATCAATTTTTAAAACTTTTAAAGCCCACTGTCGACACCATCACGCAATCTTTCCTAGTCCCGCCAACCGTGACCGGAAAGAATACTACAGTATTTACAAAATGGCTGGTACCTGTCAGTGTGTGTTACCTTGGCGATCGTTACAAATCTTTTGCAACTAGAACATTTATCCCTGTAGCCACCAATGAATTACCGGAAAGCATACCACAAAGCACTCTAAGAGACCCTCAGTTAATTGAATTGTAAAGCCAAAATCTTTGCCGCAAAGTATCAATTAAGATTTTAGAGGTGCATTTGTCAAGCGTTTAAACAAGATATGATCTGCCGCCCTCGCATGATACTTAAAAGTTCTTTGTTAATTAATACTTACGAATAGAGAGAGAACAGAGCAAGACTTGAATGCACAGAGCTAGAGTCAAAGGAAAGACCCATTCTCACAAATCATACTACTTGTGCCCAAAATTAATTTTTTGTAACACCAAACTACAGAAACAAACACAGTTTGAGAGCAGTAACGAATACCTGTAAAGAGACAAAAAGGATTCCCATAATTCAACCTGGGGAAGACGATGCACGACTGCTTAAAAGGTACAAAGATAGGTACATGCCAGCGACTTGAAATAGGGTGAATGAAGTTAGAAATCGCAAGAAGAGCCACTCCTTGCATGTCTTCAGCTTTGCTCATAACTTTAACCCTCCTTCCTATTATCAATCTGCAATCTGCCTGCTATGCAAACAATCTGCAATCTGCCTGCTATGCAAACCTGCAATCTGCCTGATATGCAAACAACCAGCAATCTGCCTGCTATGCAAACAATCTGCCTGCTATGCACAGCCTAAACTAACGCATGCAATAAAATGTATCCCCAAATGGTAGATGTACCTGTCAGATACTAACATGATATCCTAGATTGCTAAGATTGTTCATCTCAGCAGTTAATCTTGCTTTGTTGCTGAGAACCAAACCCAAACCAGCTGAGTTTACAACAACAATTGTCCCATTCCTCATCAATATCTAAGATATGATAAGCTATTCTCTCCCCTACCAATGATAAATTGCCTTGGAATTAAGTGTCTTTCTCTAAGGTTGTTAAAAGGTCAGTCCTACCAACAAGAGCGCTTCTGAGGACTGTTGTTGCTAATAAGACCTGGATAATCAGACTACACGATCTCAGCAAACAGTGGCAGTGAAAGAGACTTCAAGTCAATGTACCGGTATACTGTAAGTGGCTAATAGAGTATTTTGCCTCAGCATGGAATTATTACTTCAGGTCTTTGTCACTCCTTTATCCTCACACGTAACACACCCGTGGCCACCTTACCACACTACAGCTGTATGGCGATGTGGAGATGGTATAAAAGGAATTTGGTCACATTCTATTGTCAACAAGAAACATTTCTGAACCATGACCCATTAAATTTTAGCTTAGAGAAATTTCTTTCCATACTATTTTGACTTTCTAATTAATGTTGATAATTATGACAATTACTTACAGACACTAGTATGATACACTATGATACAAGGTTCACTCTGGTTCTGGCCAGTTTACCAATCTTAAATTTTTTTTTTCTTGTGGGAGAAAGAGAGAGAGAGAGGGAGGGGAAACTATCTAACATGAAATTCTTTTAGGAGCAACAATTTTTTGTTTCAAATTTAAAGCAATTAGGGTGAGGCAAGAAAAAAAAATCAATATAGTTCAGTGAAAAGTCGCAAAAGTGAAACAAATAATATGTGCCATCACATCTGCTAAATTGTTAATTGTAGCAGATAATGAACTGATCAGTTTAAGGCCCCAACATCCCCCCCCCTCCTGGGCAGCCCTCAGGAATTTGACCTTTTATTCATGGCTGGGTGGTGGGGAATTTGAACCTTGTCTGGATGGGGTGGGGAATTTCAACGGGAAGTGTCACCTGTCAAGTCTTTCCAGCAGAATTCAAGTGTTATATTTAAAATCATGGTGGTGTTTAAGGTAAATAGTTCACTTTTGCAGGCAAATGGCTAATAGAAAGATATCTACAAGCCTAAGTTTTAAAACTTGGTCAGGGAGTACGAAGTCATGGTTGCTGAGTTTGCCTTTCAATGAAACGTTGAGTGGGGTATTTCAACATGATTTTTGCCCAAACCAATCTTCAAAGTTCAAATGCCTGGGGGGCTATGGGGGGGGGGGGTTATGTTGGAGCTTTGAACTGATCATTGCATAACATCACAGTGTTTTAATGCTACAATACAGATGCTTTCCCAATCTTAGAATTTCAGGGGCAGTTGCACGGAATAAAATTTAAGATTTAGATTTAAATTCTAAATATCATGAACAAAATGTGTGTGGGTGTTTGATGCCATGATGGACTTATGTGAACATCACAGGTTGATGATACTGTAGTTGGTGCAAGCAGCTGGAATGACTGCTTAATCCAAACTAGTGAAATTACTAACATTCTCAAAAGATTTTAGACCGAGGGAGAAGCAGGTAACATTGCGAGAGTCTAATTAAAGGTTACTCCATTAAGTTAATCATACAATACAAGATGTTTTAACAAAGACATCCCAACAAATCTTTGGGTGATAGAGTCCCAGAATGGTTTAAAAGTGATTGTTCTTAAAATATATATTTTTTCTATAATAACAATATTATAATTATTCTTAAGATATCATTAGTCCCTCTGCTGCTTACGTTGTCTTTTGTCTTTTCCTGGGTGGTCCTATTATGGGTGTGTGTGTCGAGGCAAGAACAGCTTTAAAAACTTCTGCAATGAGGTGGGTGTGGTCACTTATGAGTGTTTTCCATCCATTGGACTCCATCACATCTGTTGCACGGCTATGATGAGAGGGGTCAAGGTAGAATAAATCTGGATGGATACTACAAAACCTATGTTTTAATACAGCCACTCTTTGGTTATTGCTGCTTTTAAAAACTTGCCAATTCTTAAGCTCCATCCACATCTGAAATATCACATTCAGTAATGGTGCTGAAGAATTTTCCATGGTACATGTACTTATACATTTTAAAGAGCATTTTAGAAAAGATTAAAATACGCAGTTGTCAAATTTGTAAAAGCAGTACCCTTCACCTCTCCTTGGAAATAAAAAAGCAAAATTTTCTGACAACTCTCCACTAGTTACCTTTTGATGAAGTCAAGTGCTTGTGCCTTGAGTTGTGTTGCACTGTGCATGTCAGCTAATATCAGAATATCACAAACATTGTCTACTGTAAGATTTGAACACAATGCCTCTTCACACATAACTTTGAGTCTATCAAGGTCATACTGAAAAAACAAATGTAGACAGAAAAAAAATTAGTAAAGAACATGCTTCAGCAAGCTGTGAAGTGACATCAAATTATCAGAGAAAGGGAGAGATAGTTGAAGGGGAGAAGAACATTTACGCTGTAGGGGGTGAATGTACTGTAAATGTAACTGAGTACAATGAGATGCAAGAAACACTACCAAAGGCAGGGCTCGAATTTAATTTTTGGAGCACTAACCCTTTGGGTTAGTAGACATCTTTTCTACTAACCAAATTACAAAGTTTGGTATCCAAGCTCACAAGTTATGATATCTCAAATATTCAACATTTTGATAATAACGACCAGGACAAATTAAAAAGTAGCTGAAATTGCATGGTGACTTTAAAAACGTTGACAATTATGCACTTATTTTATTTCCCTCGTTTACCATGATTAGTCAAGAACAGTACATCTACAGCACATTTTCTAAAAAGAGTAAATTGATTTAACAACTTGAGTGTTTTAAGTATTCCTCTGAGAGTTGGGTCTACATGCTCTTTGTCCCAAAGTCCACCAATGTTTAAATATGTTAGAAAATTTTACTAACCATGTCGGGTTAGTTGGATACATTTTTAGTAACCAAACGTTGAAAATTACTAACCATTGGTCAACAGGTTACTGTTATTTTCGAGCCCTGTCAAAGGTGGTCAAATGCAAGTGGGGTGAACAAACTTCAGCTATAATATATATATATATATATATATACATATGTGACAAAGCTGTAACAAAAACAGAGATGCAGGGAAGGGAGGTTGAAATAGGCATAAGGCACAAGTGCAAAGGGATGTACAGGTACATGTAGATATGATGGACCTGGTGGGCAGTGTTCCAGGGAACTAAGTTCAGTTTAAAAGAATGTAACTACATTTTATTATCCAACTACACCTAGATGAGTACAGATAACGCCATAGACGAGTACAAATATCACGCGGTATTTGTGCTCGTCTATTGTAGTACCGGTTAAACAGGTTTTCTTGCATTGCGCAAGCGTAGAATTGAATTGTAGTCATGAAAAAAAAAAAAAGTGGCGGACAATTTGAATCATATTTCCGACGACGAAGAGTCAGAATGGGGCTCGTCAAAATATGGCACAACTCGTAAAAATACTCAGTGATACTACACAACAAAACTTCTAATAAGATATATGTATTCTTGAACAGAACTTTCTTTGGAGGAAAAGTATAAGCAGTACTTTCTAAAGGACATCTGTATGGAGGGCTGGTAAAAGTTCCCCTTCAAGTTAAGAAAAAGTGAAATTATCAACTGAATGTTTTGTAATTGATTGTGTGGCTAATCTGACCACCCATGTGAGAAGGTGTCACATGTAAGTAAGAGTTCTTCCTCAGTCAAGTGTCCAGTCAGGTTGTGTTGGTGTACAAATCTTCATGTAAACTAATTGGTCAGTTTTGCCATGATGTTACTGGCAATGACATCAATTCAAACCTGACCAGTTACTAGTTTACACAAGCCAGCCTAATTTACAACTTGTAACAGTGAACTGTCAAACAAATCTTCACTTGACTCTGATGGTGACTTCTTTTTGGGTTGTTGAACCCTCGATTACTATTACCCACATCAGTCTTTCTAAGGACTACTCAAACCAAGACAATTTCGACTACACCATGAAATGTTACTCCTGAATTCTAACTATGTGGGGGACTAAGTGGCCTTCACTGGAATATGTATATACAGGGTACTTCCCTAAGGAAGCAAAGAACAGGGACATGAAGGCATTAAAGACACTAAGTAAGGTTAATGATGGCAAGAATCTAATAGAAGACAACTGGGTAATTAAAATGTAAGCCCTAAAATAAAAGTTAAAGACTACTTGAGAGTCAAACCTTATCAGCAGCTGCTAAAAGGTCATCTGCCATTCCTTGAAGTTGGGGTGTGCTACCAGTGTAAACAAACTTTAGCATCTCATGAAACACATCTGGATCTATGTCACTTATTTCTACACGACCTTTCCTACTTTCTTCCATTTCATGTTCAAACATGGCCCCAAATACAGGGGAACGTGCAGCCAGTATAGCTTTGTGAGCTTTAAATTCTCGGCCCCTAGTACATAGTGTCACATCACTGAAGGAACCAGAGTCTAATAATGATCCCATGTGTCTAGGTAGTTTACACTCTGGAACTTTGAGAGCCGCTGTGTGTGATGAACCTGATACATTCACTGAGTCACCTTCAACACTGACCTGAACATGAGGAAATAAGAGCCATTCAATGCTAACAAGAAAAGGCGTAACTGGTGGGATCAAAGTCAGTATCTATTAGCAACAGTGTATCTACCCCTCTTCCCTAACCCAACCTTAACCTGAACTTGTTATCAGCTGGTGGTGGCTGGGTTAGGGGAGGGGTAACCAAGGTGTGCAGTTGCCTGATACTGACAGAGATACCATGAGTACATAAAGTGCAGCTCAAAGATGAGGGGACATCACAGACTAGTCTTATATGCTCATCTGACACTTCTGAGTTAAAAAAATGTGTCTAGATGAAGTTAAATCTTCCATTTTACAAGGCTCTCTCTTCAAAGACGAGATTTTTCTTAAAAAGTTTCCACAGTGCACTGATCACACCTTACAGTTTTTTTTTTCTGCTGGAAAAAGTTTTGATTTCTGTCATGCATCTATGAGCCGCTGAGACGCCATGCATTGTGACTTTTGTTGTATCACAGCAAGGACCCATGAAATTATTTCTTTGCTTCTAATGAAAAAAGTTCATTAATTCAAAATATCTTTGATAAACTGATCAATTGTACTTGATCATTCTTAAAGGGAAAGTTTTACATTTGTTTTTAATAAAGCATGCCACACAATCAAGAAGCCATGGTGATACAAGTCTGAATGACTTGAATATAGTGTCATAGAAACACTGTAAAAATTGTATGCAATTGTTAGGCACAGAATGACCTGTTTTAAAAGACATTTTCATTTTTTAAAGTATGATGGGTTCAACAATACTGCTTTCTTTGGTGAGCAAACCCTTGGTGAAATTTGCCAGCAGGCAAAAACTGTGTAAAGTTAACTAGACCACAGCAGTGAAAAAACCAACACAGCCAAAAGAAACACAAGAAGACTGATGGATGTTTGGTGCAGTCTAACCAACAGTTTTCATTTCCAAATACAAAGCCCATTGAAATAAACAATTACCATTCCACAATGGAGAAAACAATCAGCTAACCCATAGATACTAATTAGGCAGACACATCTGCTGCTAGACCCATCTGGCTCATCTGTGAAGACTTGTCTGAGTTCGGTCATAGACTAGTCTTAAACGAGTTTTTCTGTTGAGTTTGGTCCCCTTATCTTTGAGCTGCACTGTACCCTGATATCACATGCCTTTCTTTTAAAATACTTTTGTACCTAAGCATGTTTCAACTGTGAAAAAAATGGGCCAATAAAAAGGAAACCAGTTTGCTTTACTTAACATTTTTTTTTCTTCGTAGCAAAAACAACAAATTCTGCATGTTCCAGAAACTTCAGACGTACACCTACTTAAAACCAAACAGCTCAGAGCAAAGGCTAAAACAGTTGTTAAAACCAAATTTAAAAAATTTCATAATTCAGCTTGGCCCATTCAGAGTTCATTCATTAAAAACGAAACAGAAAAAGAGAGAAAAGTAGCCCATCCTTTCAACAAATCTGGAAAAGTTTGTTAAGCAAATTAAACATTAATGCAGATAAAAAAACAAATTCAAAATATTTGAAACAACAACTGACATACACAGCATTGTTATTCGAGTTTCTGCAACAATCAATATTCCTTGCAGGGGTTTCATTAAGGGGCCGGGCACCGGCCAAATTGACCGGTTGTGAGGACGGTTTTGCCCACCTGGTTTAACAATCTGGAGGAAGGTTTATCTTATAAAGAAGTTTAGTTCAAAAAGTTTTGCCAGCCTGTGAAAACCAGTTCCCCTCCTGCTGAAAACATTAATTAAACCCTTGTCCTTGAAGACTTGCCAACCACACAGTTGGTGGTCAGAAGGAAGATGAAAAACATAACAAAAAGCTACTAACAGTAGCTTATACAGTGTGCACTCTGTACTGTATGTACCTTACCTCACAAAATAATGTTAATGTATCATTTGGTAATAAGCCATTAGCTTCATCCATTAGAAAGTCTCTTCTTATAAACTTCTTAAAACCCCAGTCTTTACCTTGAACAAACCGGTAAGCTCGTTGACTCTCTGCAAACAAAAGTTTTTAAAATTATAATGTGTTTTAGACTAAACCATACAATTGGGGAAATATTTGTTAAATAAATCCATATGATCTTTTGAACTAAATTGTTGCACAAAAGGAAATGCCTCATATGAACCTTCATGTATCTCTACCAATTCTATCAAATTTTTACCCCTTAAACATTTCAATACAAAATTTTTTTCTTTTAATTCTTAAAAACACATCTGATATTTAAAAAGATAATATGCATTGTCACAGATGCAAGCTTAAAAACATCTTTACAGATTTTGATATTTACAGCTGTGAAACCACAAATACATTTGTCAAAAAATATTTTTACGTCATGCCTTTGCCTGAGCCAAAGCATAGTGCATACTGTGCACTTTGCCAATAGCTTGAACCAGTGAAAACAATAATAATGACCAAAATGTTAAGCTTTTATTGAAGCTACCGAGGACAAATTGTATCCTGTAAATAAAGGTCACTCCTGGAAGTTTATGGTCAGTATACAAACAGTCAGGTTTAAACAATGAGCTGATTTATATATGCAATTGGTGTTTACTTACATTTATGATCTAATAGAAGACCGACGCACAGTTGACATCACCACTAACCACATTTTGGTTTTAATCATATAAAACAAAAAGATTCCAGGTTGCTGGGGGTCTGTTATTAGTATTAGTTCAACTATTAATCTCCTTATTGATATTTTTTTTCTCTATTTTCATCACTCATCTGCTCAACATTGTTGTGGTCACTCCTGGAAGTTTATGGGTCAAACATGCCCCAGCAATAACCATAGGGTACACTGTATTTCCTTGTGCTATGAATGGTCAGCAAACAGTCAGTGTACCTACCCATAGCCTTTGTTTCTTCTCTGTTGGCATTAAGAATTGAAAACTTGAATTTTGCTCTCACTTCACTTTTGTTACAGGCAAGTAAGAGAAGGTATAATGACAAATAGTCTTTGCTTTCTTCATCTAAGCCTCTTGGGTTTACTCTCAAGCACCTGGTGAAAAATAATAATACATTTTGGGCTGTTGCTATCAGAGATTTTATGCAGAAATGTTCAGCATACTGGCAACAAAAGTTGTCCTTAGTTAGAGTAAATTTCTACAAACAGTTTAAAGATGCATGTACATGGAAAAAGGATGCAAGAATCAACTTAGCCTTGCCATACCCAATGAATATTCTACTGCACAGCTTCAATGAATTGCTTAATCGTTGGTATGTGAGAAAATTGGCGTAGTGAATTACGGCCATTGGAAACATTAAATCTGAACAGTCAAAACTGCATGAGATATTTGCTCAAGGCTCTTGCTTCTCTACCACTTCTCTTGTGATCTTAATTTACGAGACAATGTATACAATATATCTTTATTTTGTACCATTTCATCTTATCATTGGCCCCAGCTGAGAATGTAGAGCTTTTTAGTGTTTCTCCCATTTCCTCACGGCAAAAGCTAAAGTTGTTTATCGTCCACATGTAGGAGAATTTTATAACTTTGATTTGAGTATAACACCAGTTCTCTGCTACAGGCGACGACGAGGACATTTTAGATGACTCACAACAGGAAACTGTAGCCAGGGTGAACTATCTGGAAGACAAAAAAGAATTGCTTAGAGCACTTTTCAAGTGAGTATGATGTAAAGTCTACTGATATTCCAGATATACAGTCACAACTTACAACACATTTTAATCAACATTCACATCACTAAAAGTACATTTCACAGCATTAGTACTCTTGGTTAACATACAGTCATGTAGTCAAGCCAATCTATTTCCCATGATGAAAACATTATTAAAGACGCCTCCCTACATTCCCTCCTTTTCTCACTAGAAAACTTGGCATTTTCTTGAGCTTACAAAAATTTAAATATAAACAAAATAAGCATGCACTCTAAGAATACAAAAATGTCCTTCACAACTTGGAATTGTAAACCAGTCTCTTGGAGACCAAATCCTTTGTTAAAATAGCCCTTAGTTCTAAACAAAGTCCTTAGAGCCTGCTGGTCTCCAAATCTGACACATCGACCTCTGCACCTCCTGCTGCTGTCAAATCTCTCGATTCTTATGACCACCATCTACTCATCCCATTTCCTTGTTTACTTCTGCATCCAACCTGCCTTGCCCTTGTTCTTCTCCTACGTCTGCAGAAGCATTTTCATTTCCCCTATTTTCTACCACACTGATAGAGCCTTCCTGGCTGTGGAACATGTACTCCTTAATGAAAGCTGAATTGCATCTGAGCTCCACTCCTGCATAGTTCTGGACTGCGATCCATGTCACTTCCCATCTTTTAAATTACTTTTATAGGACTATACATGCATCAGGAGTTCCAGACTTCCTGTTGAATCGCACGGCATTGTGGGCACGCAGGCACAAAAATGTGGGCATCAACTTGCAGCTTCGCCACATTTGAATACACAAAGTACCTTGGATTCAGTGACTTTTTACGCAGGAAAGCCCTTCTTCTGAGCCGAATTATACGCGAGGGAATATAGGAAAACCAATTCAAAGGTATTTTAAAGGTGAGCTGATTTTTCATTCCTTTTTGGCAGCATTATTCTAACAATTTTAGTCTTAGAGTGTAGTCGATATGAGAAGCTACGAGAATGATTTTTGCTTCTTTTCTTACTTGCGTTGTACTTTTGTTCTAATACAGATACTTTGTTGATGGGATTTGGCCACCGAAACTGTGTAGTTATAGGCTGTCCTAACAGCGGACAAAGGCTAGGAAAATGGGGTGCTACGACCCTGTACTTCATAATTGGAAAAAGGGCTCAAGCATGTGTGACTGCCAGCCACCCTTCAAATTATTCCCATTCCCGACAGAAAAGAAGAAACCTGAGCACCGATTACAATGGGAAAAAAATATAAATAGGAACAGTTTGAATGGGACTCTTTGGATGACTAACAAGGATTCGTTTAATCAAACATTTTGTTTAATCAAACATGAACTGCCTCTCTCTTATCGGTAATATTATCATTGTTTGTGCTGCATTATGCAATTTGTACAAGCCTCTTAGTAAGTAACATGTTTCTTTTTGTCTTTTTCCAAGCCATAGAGTAAAATGTGTAATGCACGAGAAAAGCCATACTCCCACCATGGAGGGAATTGGAAATTCCAATTAGGGAGGGGCTTTGCTGCAAGTTTTTTAAGGAACTGAGGACAGTATAATTAATGTTAGAAGCAACTTTTTGTAATTAGCAACTTTAAGAACATTTTCTACTTTTGAAATTGCATGTCAAGGATCAAACAAAGCTATGACTGTACAATAATACATGCACTTGTTCAATAATTATAATCTGCAGGCTATATGGAGATATGACTAGCTGTTTACAAAATTTTCTCAGTCTGATGAATTTTCTAGGTTTTTTACATAATTTATTTTTTAAGTAGTTTCAGCATTGGTGAAAGACAAATAATATAAGACAATTAATATAGAACCAGGCTAGATTTTCTTCAAGCCTACACTAGTATGTGGCATTAAAGGTGATTGTTTCCATGTGATAGCCCTTGTGTGCGTATACAAAGAAATAGCAGTATGGCCTCTTTGTTATGGGCATCTCACCTTGGAGCTGTGCAAAGTATCGATGCTGCTGCTTTAAAGCTACTTGCCCATTACACTTATATAAGTATGACAGATTATGTGGTGAGGGAATTTCAATGGCAATGCTAAAAGGGTTCTTGATCTCCACTACTGCTTCCCCACAACAAGAGCACTCTATTAGTAAGTCTGGGGATGCTCCCAGGTACTGTTTAGTTTTGTCAATAAAGATAACACATTCTCTGTATGAAACATCCTTGGATGTGTAAGCTGGGTTGGTCATTCCACTCCTATTAGCAGCCTCAACTCTAAACAGCAATGCTGTGATGTGAATACAAGAGCTGCTCTTTCTGAAATTATAAAAAAGGAGATGAAAATAATCATGAAGCATTTGGAAACCTCGGCACTGTTGGGGGCTCAAGAAACAATGCCCTGGTCCTAGTTTTCTGCAGTACATGCTTCAGGAGTTCCAGACTTCCTGTTCAACTTGCAGCTTAGCCATAATGGAAAACATAGAGTAAATTGAGTTCAGTGACTTTCACATCAATGAAGTGTAGATTAAAAACTCTTGAATCCCTGTTAGGCATCCAAAGAGTCCCATTCAAACTGTTCCTATTTATATTTTTTGCCTATTATAATCGGCCTTCCGGTCTCTTCTTTTCTGTCGGGAATGGGAATAATTTGAAGGGTGGCTGGCAGTCACACATGCTTGAGCCATTTTTCCAACCATGAAGCACATAGGTCATAGCAGCCCATTTTCCTAGCCTTTGTCCACTGTTAGGACAGCCTATAACTACACAGTTTCGGTGGCCAAATCCCATCGACAAAGTATCTGTATTAGAACAAAAGTACAGCGTAAGTAAGAAAAGAAGCAAAAATCATACTCGTAGCTTCTCAAATCAACTACACTCTAAGACTAAAATCGTTAGAATGACGCTGCCAAAAAGGAATGAAAAATCAGCTCACCTTTAAAATACCTTTGAATTGGTTTTCCTATATTCCCTCACGTATAATTCGGCTCAGAAGAAGGGCTTTCCTGCGTGAAAAGTCACTGAATTTAAGTCACTATGTATTCGAATATGGCGAAGCTGCAAGTTGATGCCCACTTTTTTTGAGCCTGTGTGCCCACAATGCCGTGCGATCCAACAGGAAGTCTGGAACTGATGCATGTATGGTGGAAATTACCAAACAGTTTGTTCAATTTTGTGCTCAGGTGTACCACATCACCAGTTTTAAGACACTACAAAACAGCCCCTCTCCTCTTATCTGCAGAAGCCTTTTCTTTCAACTTACTTGACCAGTCCCTTTCACTAACCTCTCCAATAAATGCTCCTAGTTTCTCTCCTTAATTCTGGCAGTTTAGACCTCACTTCCCATCCAAACATTAAAGAGAAAGGTGTGGCCCCTGTAGTTACTTGCACAGTAGATCTAAAGGTAATTAACCAAATAACTAATCCAAAGCGCCAAAGTTTCCTTTCGATGTTTGTAACCTGAAATCGTTTCAGAAGAGAATGATTTTGGCCCTCAACCTCTCTGTTGGCTTTAAGCCGTTGGGGCATAGTCCTCTGATTTTCAACACCCTGCTTCTGAAGAAAGGTTTCAAACTCCGCTGAAACAAATTGAGGCCCATTGTCTGTCCTCTACAAATATGGAACACCAAACTCAGCTGACATGGGAGGGATAGCTTCAATTATCTTCACACTCCTTGTAGACCTTAGAGAGCAACCTCCTGGAACCTGCTGAAACAATCCACTGTTACTTGAATGCTTTTCCCCAAAGGAAATCAAAGGCTCACTTCCATCTCATCCACCATTGACTTAAATTGTGCGGTTCTCCCATTAAGGGTAACCACAGAATTTCCTCAATCACCACTACTTGTTACACTTGCTTCACCTAATCCTAGTCAAAGTTGCCTAAAAAATACACCTCAAAGTTTCCAGCACAGTCCTTGACCAAACTTGTGAAATTCTCAGCAACATGCTGACCAAAAATCCTTCAAATCCTCATTGCTAATGTAAAGTCTAGTGATATTCCTGTTATACCCTCACAATTTACAACACACTTAAATCAATGCTTGCTTCAGTTCATTACATTTCACAACATTAACATTCATAGTTAACATACAGTCATGCCAATTTATTTCCAAGATGAAAACATAATCAAAGATATAACACTAAAGGCTGTGGTCTAACAGCACCCAGTGGCCCCTGGCGCCTTACTTTTGCTCTTGGGAGACTCTGGAATTTTAGTTTTTTCATACAAAGCATATGCTCGGCACCCTGGATTTCACAGTTTCAAAGCACTGGGCTCCATTAAATTTTCCTTAGAGCACAGCCTTGACACTGCCTATGACAACTGTAAAACCAAACCCAGAGAAATAATTACAACAACAGCCAAATAAAAACAGGGCTGAAGTAGAAATACAATTAGCCCAATATAGCTGAAAGTAAACATAATGAAACAGCCCGAGGTGAAAGAGAATGTGAGAGAGAAAATGATGATTGGTTTTAGCTTTGCATTGAATTGATTTAGAAGCTTAAGTGAGGTATCGATCGCCATGACTGTGACTTTCATCTCCAGCTGGCTTGCACAGTTGATTTTCACCATGTAAACAGAGGTAGAAATGTTAACAAAAATATTCCTGAAATTTTTTCAATTTCCATTTTGGCTTTTATGTCTCCATTTAGCAGTGCAGAATTTAAGTCTTGCTTGTCAAACATTCAAAATGTGGTATTTTTTGGATGGGGCAAAGCCACCCTCTCTGGGAAAGCAAGTCTGTTGCACAAAACAAGACAGAAAAGAGAAAATAAAACCATCAAAAAATAAAAAAAACATGAAAGGATGGGCAATCAAGTGGCTTTTTGCACCATGCAACTAACATGTTGGATTTTCTGACAGGAAACCTAGGATTCATCAGGACATATAACTTCCTTCGTTTTGCTTCCCAATTTTTGAAATAGGGACAACCTGACATGATACTAAATTTTCTGCTCTGCATACGTGCATGAAAAAGACTCACATGTTAGTACAGCAGCCAGGTAAAGAAATAACAAAGGTGAACCTTTCCACAAGGTTTTTTAAAGTACCAGTCAAGTGATCAACAGATGTTGCAGTGAAAGGGGAATAACTGGGAGCCATTACACAACCTTAGCAACTGTTTTTTCCTGAGTTGAAATTTTAGATTATGTATAATACTGATATATTTTCTTAGAGTGAGAGGTGAAAAAAGTTACAACACCACAGTACAACATGGCATATATTCATTACAAAACCCTTTCGTTCATTAACTGATAATAACGTCAAAATTTCTTGATGCAGAACAATCGTTGATAAATATAAAAAGGAACAGAAAAAAATGCACGACGTGTTGTTACTTCTTACCTCATTCTCTTAGCCATGATTTTACAATATGATAGTCTTGCGGATAAATTTTCTGCGCTAAACCAGTCTACAGGCGAAAATTCGTACCTAACCTTTCTTCACGTGATTCAAAAGAATTGCCACTAAATTGGCTTAATAAGGATAACACAGCCCTGGAAATTTCCCCAAAATCCAGAGCTCTTTAACGCTAGTGCGGTTAAATCTCGACACCTTCTGTGAAAATCCCCGTAACATTGTTCAAAACAAACTACAGAACATGAATCGACCTTGAAACGCTTATGTTATATTCGTTAAAATGATTAGCTAAGCTTGGTCTTACACATTAAGCGGAAAAGCACTGTCATCAACTTGAATCCGGGAAGGTTTTTTACTATTTTCGAATTAAAGAGTAGGTGGCATAAATTGCTGTAAGCGAACTGTATAAGCCGACTAGAGGTTCCGCAGCACCAGAGTGCCTTGAAACTCTCAAATAATTTGCATTCACTAAACATACAGGAAACTTCAATTAAACACGAACAGCATACACTAGCACACGCAATTCAGCGAGAAAGGCACAACGCAAAAAGGAGGAATCTTTCAGGTGACAATTTCGATGAGAGACAATAAACACACGCGTGTGTCACAAAATATGACTCTCCTGAACTGAACCAACGAGTGAATGAACAATGAAATATCTCACCCGTCGACTGACTCGAAGAGCACCGCAAACTACCGGAACTATCATGGAACGAGGGCTAACGGCCGCTAAAATGTGCCCTCCGAACGCTCTGAACCCACGCTTCAAAGCGAAAACGGTGAAAGCACTTACCTTCCTGTAGCCGCCAAAGAAACAATTATGCGCCTGTATATTATCTTCACGGTGAGATATAAAGGAAAACAAAGTAAGAGTTTTGTGACTAGTTTCAAGTCTTCTCGTGTATTATCCGGGAATGTTTTCGCACGGCTCCATTGTTTGTGCGCACGTATGGAATCATGGCCGCCGATTTATCCCGATTTAACGCAAGTATTGATTGGATAATAATGCTGGCATATTTTTGTCTTTTCTATCAGACGTTTTAATTGGAAAAAAATTGATAAAGACAAACTTGTCAAATGGCTTCAAAACATGATTTTCTTCATTAATTAATTTCAGATGTCTCGGATGCAGTCTAATTAAAGTATTCAAAACTACTAACACGTTTGAATTGTTATCTGAAAACTTCAGTTCTACAACTAATGTTATGCTGTCTGAGAAGAGCTTTAAATCAAACAAAAACATTACAGATAGTGAAATTAGGTGTAATTGGGAAAATTATTGACAGGAAAAAAGTAAACTTTCGCATGTATTTTGAAAAGTGAGCGAGCTAATATCGTAGCTTTTGGGTTTAGAGCGAAGGGGAACTTTTTGGAGAGAACGCTTACAAAATTGCTTAATGACAGATTACTTTAAAGAAACTTGTTTTGGTTTTACACGAGTGCTTTCCGAGCATAGCGAAAAAGATTATTAATAAAATATTAGACTCAAAGTTAAATTTGTTTGCCAGCTCATACTGGAAAATTCTCGCTCTGACTCTAAGATATTAAGCGAAGATATTAGTTAGCACCTTCCACAGCTGAAAAGGACAGAAAATCCTAAAAAAAAAAGCATTTTCTGAAAGTATATCACTCCAAGGTCATTCAGAAATCTCAAAACTACCGCCGGAACTCGGTGCTTTCTAAAAACAGCGATGATTGGTTAGTTATGCATGACGTCACCGCTTGAAGGAAAAGAGGGAAATCGCCATTTTGGATTAAGATCATCATGTGATTAGAAAGATCCTTGGGTCGAAAGTGTGATTCTGGAGAAAATACTTGAGGAAGAAAGGATCGATGATGGGGTTTCGTTGTTATAGGCTGGGATTAATATTTTTCAACATCATATATTTGGTAAGGCGAGTTGTTTGCGGGTTATGTTCGATGTACGCTTCGTTGCAAGTTGCTACATGTTCAATTCATCAGCGTTCTTTCTTTTTAGCTGTCAGCAGCAAATGTCGAAATCACCGTGCATAAGGTCATCTCGTGATGTGCGGCAGTGGAATATGTCGTTTAATATCGTATGAAATTTCAGCAAGGTTTAGCGTCGATGATCTAAAAAGTATCGTGTGAATTAAAGATCAAGAGCTATTTCGGTTCAGTGACATTTTAGCAGAAAATGAAATGCTTATTCACAAATGCGTGTTTATAAACAAAAAATGGAAATTACAGAGGTGTCTCAAGCAATCAGTCAAAATTGATATGATATTTTTGCTGAAATCGAAAGCCAGGTCTGTGCTCTATTGAGTTGGTTCACGTTACGTTTGGTTTCCAACGTACACAATGTTCTGTTAGCTTAGGGCCTTAGATTTCATGTTTGGCAGTTGGGAATTTATGGGTTTAGGGAACCAAAAGAGAGGGAAGCTGTCAACCTTGAGCTTTGCATGGGATTGTGAGGGGCTTTGAGAATCCAATATAAAGAACTTAGCATTAGACCAGTTATATGACAAGCTGAGTTATACATTCATTTTGATTGGTTCTTACTTGCGATCTAGTGGAGGACAGATGCATAGATGACATCACCTTTAGCAAAATTTTCTTCTTTGATTTATTTAACAAATATATTCCATGTTTCTGTGTGTCTTTTCAGTGTGCCACTTTTTTGTTCCTGCCCCATTTTGATGTTATCTGTGATCTATTTATGTTACTGAACAGACACACAGCAACATAGAATCTTTTTGTTAATTATGTGATGTCTAGATGACTGCATCTGGGTATGACCAAGAACAACGAAAATCAGCTCACTCTGATCTCTTTTGACGTAGTTATACAAAAGCAGACCTTTGAACCATTTGAACTCAAATGTTCTCTCTATTCCATGCCCATGACACATTAATAACACTCTTATTCTTTACCAGATGACCATTCCCAGAATTTACTCTTTTACTTAATATCTCTACACAATACACAGTACTCTAATTCCTCTTTTGAATTTTTTTTTTCAGATCATAGGCTTTGTTCTTATACTTTGTCCAATATACTCCAAAGTTGCAGAAGTTTTCACCAGCTGGTCTATTGTTGGGGGTACGATAGCATGTGGAGTGTTCATTATGCTGGTTGCTGCAGCTGGAATATATGGTGCCGTCAAACATCACCAGATAATTCTTTTCTTCGTATCCTTTTCAGCTTTTCTCATGGATCTTCATGTTCTTTCACTTTCATTAGGTCATAGAAATGATGTTGTGACTGCGAGTTACGTTGTGCAAGTTTCTCTTTTCCGGTGATGACAGCTAGACGTCAAATTTGCCCATTTAAACCTTGAGTCCTTTGATATATGAGACGATTAGTGGGAGTGTGTGAGAGTAGAGAGGGAGAGAGTTGAAAAAAGAATTGTGACAGCTAGGCTTGATGCTGTGCTATTAAAACTGTTAAGATCAAGAAATTGTGAGTTTCTTTGTCGGCGAAAACCGATTCCCGACAATGAGATACTGTCAGTTTTTGTTGTTTTTATGTTCAACTCAGGGTCAAAGCTTAATTTCTGTCTCACATATAAGAAATGAGAGTTGCCTTTTACCAGGGCTGTGCACCCTACTAATAGTAGTGCCTGGTGGTCCCTGGGGCCTAGCTTTTGCTCTTGGGTGACTAGGGAATCTTAGTCTTTTCTTAAAAAGTTTTATGCTGGGCATCTTGGATTTCACTATTTCACGTTTTCAGAGTACTGGGCTCCCTTTAATTTTTCGTTGAGCGTAACATTGATTACGTTTGGTTTCCAATACAACTTTCTGAGAAGGTCCAGGATGTGTTTGGCAGTTGAGAATTTTTGGGTTTTGGGAGCCAAGAGAAAGGGAAGCTGTTAGCCCTGATGTTTGCACAGATGGCTTAGTGAAGGGCTTGGAGAATCCAATGTAAAGAATTTCAAGACCATTTATGGTCTGTATGCTGAATTACACACTCATTTTGATTGGGTCTTACTTAGGATCTATTGTTACAAAAAGTTTAAAAAATGACATTCCAAACCGCCTTAAGCTTACCCGTGTGTTTTATGCAGACAGTGATTTTTCTGAAAACTGTCTAGAAGGCTCATAACTGGTGCTGGAATAACATTTATTTGCTTCAAACAATCCACTTAAAAGACAATCTTGTGGTCCAATGATTGTCCAAAACTGGTTAGGTTTTGTTTCACCCTTTAACTCCCAGAAATGATTAACATGTAACTTCTCCTTGTAATATCCATACGTTATCAGGCATACAGGTAATGAGAATACTCAATCTTATCAGGTAGAAGTTGTTACCTTGATTGAACATGAAATTCTCGTAACCTATTTACAGGGAAATGTGTAGCAGCTAGAGGGGAGAATTAGCAATCAGATCTTGGGAGTAAACGGGATAAGTGTGGAATTTGGGGGTGATATTGTTAAGAGAAATAGATACATGTACTAGTCACTTTAAGAGGTTTGAAGAAGTTTGTATCCTTAGCCACCATCAGTTTATGGCAATCATGTTCCTATTGTTCATCATTCTATTTTCTGTGTCTGTGGCTGCACTCTCCATATCATCAAACCAACAACGTGAAGTTCTAGGACATGCTTGGGAATCTGTCAGTAACAAAACCAAAGGAGAGGTTCAGAGTGCTGGAGACTGCTGTGGTTTTAATGACACACTGAAGAATAACTCTAGAGATCATCCCTCGTGTTCAGAGGTACATGTATTCATGGTCACACGTGTATATTTCTCTTGATTTGAAATAGTTTTTTTTTTTTTTAATTATTCATTTGATCTCTACATTTTGTAGTGTAAATGCACATTGATAGGACTCTCTATAACCTTTTACACCCTTTTATCAGCATGCATATTCTCTGTACTGTTCTCTGTACATTACCAAAGGTACTAACAAGGAGAATTTGTGTAACAATCAAGAGCTTCTTAAGTTAGTGATCATTTCCTTTATTCTCAAGACCTTAATGTGTGATTCAAGGGTGATATTGTAAGGAGAAATTAGGTATTAGTCACTCTTAGGGGTCAAAGGGTGAACTTCCATTTTTTTTTCGCACAGGCATTCACTTTCATCAATCCTTTTCATGCTTCATGGCACATTAGGCCTTCACAGAGCTTTTCCACTCCTCTTGATTGGTTGCTGCGGTCCGCACCTCCTCCCACGACCTCCAACCCGGCTCTTGCCTTTCTTTCTCTAATGTACGTCTCCAAGTGGTTTTTGGTCTTCCCCTTCTCCTTTTACCTTCTGGCGCCCAGCTCATAGCAACATTGCAATCTGATCTTTCTTAAGAATATGACCAATAATTTTCCATCTATGAGACATCACTTCTGCATTCAGTGGCTTCATGCCTGCCCTTTCCGGTAGCTCTTTGGTGCTGACACTTTAAAGAGAGAAATTAGTGGGGGCAAACTTGGGCTAAACTTGTTCCTTTCCCCAAGTTTAGGCAAATTTCCATTCCTAGTTTTGCATTAGTATGACATTCCAACAGTCTAATGTCCTTCCTCTTTTTTTTTTTTTTTTTTTCTTCAGCTTCCTTGTTGTAAATCAAAGAAATATACCTGTTCTGAATGTTCTACTTGCTATGGCTACCTAGAGGAAAATGGCTTGGACACATTAAAGGAAGCAGTGGGAGGAATTGGTCTCTTCTTTAGTTTTACAATGGTAAGGGATGTTTTAGTGCCCATAACTCTTTACACCTTAGCATAAGTATGCATATTCTCCATACTGTTCTCTGTACAATTCCTAAGGTGTTGACAAGGAGAATTTGTTTAACAATCAGGAGCTTTTTTAGTTGGTGATCATTTCCTTTATTCTCGTAACCTTTGTGTGATTCAGGGGTGATTTTGCAAGGAGAAATTAGTAGTTTAATTAGTAGTGATCATTTCCTTTATTCTCGTAACCTTTATGTGTGATTCAGGGGTGATTTTGCAAGGAGAAATGAGTAGTTTAATTAGTCACTAGTCACCCTCGGTGGTCAAATGAATAATTGTCTGCAATAAAAGTTACATTATACAAGGTTCTGAAGGTGCGGATGTGCAGTGTTCTCACCAGAGTTTTTTCCCTACCTGATTCAATATGGTAGACAAGGTGTTTGTGATTCAATAACTCACACCAATCTTTGTCACTTACGTGGGATTAACGAAAATAAAAGCGGTGAAATTGAAGTCTGAATCTTTTGATAACATGTTATTTATTCATTCCATATGGACAAGCGAAAGACTGGGATGTTAGGTTGACCACCAAAACTGCTTACCTGCAAATGTTCTAAAGTCTGTTTGACTCTTAGCTTGCCCCTGCTCCCTAACAGGCACATCTTCTTGGCTTTTTTTATGCACCGTCTCGGTTTTTTTTAAATTTTTTAAAATTTTTTTGGGAATCCTGCAAGGCTGTGGCCTGGTGAGAACACTGGATGTGGTAACCAACCAATTGACTAACTGGTTGATAAACTGACTGATTGATGTCCTGGCGTCAGTTGGTTGACAAACTAACTGGCGTGTTGATTAACCTCTTTACACCAAAACATCAGGGTCCATATTCTCTATACCATTCTTCATACATTATCTTTGGTATTGACATGGAGAATGCATTCAACAATCACAGCTTCTGTTGGTGGCAATCATTCCCTATATTCTCGTGATTTTAATGAATGATTCAGCAGTGTTACTGTAAGGAAAAAATGAGATGCAGTAAATGGTTTGAACCCGGGGGTAACATGTGAAGGTGTAGTCTGATCGTCCGGGTGAATGTAGTCCTGAGAAGGACTGTTGTCGGTGGCAGTGACTGACGTTTCGACAACCTGTGCGGAAGTCATCATCAGAGTCAAGTCTTGAGTCCTTCTCAGGACTACACTCACCCGGACGATCAGACTACACCTTCACAAGAAAAATGAGATGCTGGTCACTTGTAGGACTGTGAGCATTGAACTGACTCTGTCTTACTGGTGGTAATTGGCTGATGTACAGATTGACATGGCAACCAACTGAACAACTGACTGATTGAATGACTTCCTTCACTGATTAATTAAATGACTGTTTTGTCTGTCTGTTTGGCCAACTGGCTTATATACTGTTTTTCTCGTTGCCATGTTCCCACCAATCACGTAGCTCCTTTTTCTGCCTTTAAAAGCACACACAACCCACAAGTCCCCTATTCGCTCCGACGAAGGGCTAACGCTCGAAACGTCAGCTTTTATAATCGTAATTGTGGCTATTTCAACTTTGTTGATATATTCTAATTATATACTGGTTGACTGGCTTACCAACTGGCCAGTTGACTGATATACTTGGTAGTGACTTACTCATTAGTATCATGAGGGAGAAGCTGACTGACTGGCTGGCTGCTGAATTGACTGACTGAAACAACTAGAAATTTCTGAGAACTAAGAAGATCACCAGTCCTCTAACTTGAAGAAGTGCAAGACTTGGAAATGCTATGCTTGAACATTTCTTATTTATTTGTTTTCAGTTATTTAAGTTTACTGTCTATTCATTTGATAAATTGCTATATTTATTTATTCTTTCAGTTTTTGGGAATTTACTTGGCATTCCGATATAGGCATCTTAAAGATCCAAGAGCAAATCCCAGTGCATTTCTATGACAGTGTAAACAAGACCTGAAGGCTATGAGACAATTGCCAGATTTATGTCAGCTTCAGCACCAAGAAGGTTCTTTGTTATCAAAGCTGTGAACAGTCTCAAAGTCTGTGGAGTTTACAAAATATAGAGTGTTTTTCAGAGCCATACGGGGTGATATACAGTCAATCATTTATAGGATAAATTAAACCACATTGGACAACAAAACTAACCAAGTTTTCTTTAAAACACATTCTTAACTTTTATCATGGTCATTGTCAGCACTAATGTTGTTCTTTAATTGCCTCACAGTATTGATTGAAAATAAGTGTAGATAAGAAGGGAAGAAAATCTCTGAAACTGCAAACTTATGTGTCCATCAACTCAGAGCCTCAAAAACAACACCCTCCCCTCCCTCCCCTCCCCTCCCCAGGGATTTTAACTTTTGAAGATAAGTTTTTTTACAATTTTCCCCAGTGCAAAAAAAGGCATAAACTGCCCCACTCAAGCACAGTCTTTTATCACATGATTCTTTGGGTGATCAACGCATGTTGTAGAATTTAGTAAAGTCAGGTATTCATGTGTATGTATAAGTCTTGTATTCTGCTGGATCAAATGTCCCACTCCACCTAGGCAAAATTTAACTTCCCTACCTCACAGCACAGGTGACAGTCAAATGCCTGTGGGTTGTCGAGGGGGTGGGGGGGTTGAATGTTGAAGCTTTGAATTGATTGGCACTTTTCAGTGGCAGCTGCACAACCTTATAGTATCATTTCTGAGTGAATCTGTAGAATCAACCCAAAGTGGATATTAGTGCAAAACCATTCATAAGATAGTGAGCTCATTTGCAAGTGGATGAAATTTCATTTTAAAATGAAAGAATTATTTCAAGTATTGATTTTAAGAATTCAAAATAGACTGAAGGTAATTTGGAGCTGGTTCATTTATTTGCTTACTTGTACCTCTTACAAATACATCTTAACAGGAAAAAAGAATGATAATGACTTTTATTAGTATAATGGACTACAGTGGAACCTTGATTATCCGGATTCGTTGGGACTAGACAAAATAATCAAAAATATGAATATTAATGAGGGACAAAAACTGATTAAATTAAGAAAGTGACATTTAATCCTGAAACGAAACATTTACAAATTGTTTTGAAAAAGATATGGTCTACATCTCCACTGTCCTCTACATGTGTGTATAATTTTAAAGAAAATGTTTCTGCATTGGCCTAAAATGTTGAAGTAAGTCAGCTTGTCTGAAAGAAGAACATCACCTTTACTTCACTTTTCAATGCTGTAGTTTTAAGAAGGAGTTTTAGTCTTGATCATGACCAATAAATATTCATAAAAAAAAATTGGGACCAAAGAAAAAGTTTGGATAATCAAGAAATCTCATAATTGAGGTCTGGACAATCAAGGTTCTACTGTAGTGTCCAAAGATGCAATCTGATTGGCTATGCATTTTCTATCTATTCAATGATAGATAGCTGTACATAGTGTGACTGTGAACGAAAAAAATAGAAACTTAGCCTGTCTTGTTAACATTTGAACAAAAATAGTAGATTTTGACTAAAGCTATGAGATGATTTGCTCTCCATTTCTATGCACGAGCTTCATCAGCTATGGTGCTACAGAAATCTCAAGCTCGTGACCTTATTGTAAAAGATTCTCTCTGCCTATGAGGAGGAGTTGTTCAAGCTAGATTTTCATCTGTACAGCTGAGCTTTGTCCACAGTAAAGTTTATATTGTTTGAAGTTATTGACCAGCTAGCCCTTTTTACAATTTTGGAATGCTCTGTACTTTGAAGTACATTTCTAGGAAGCAAATTACTCTTATCACTGGCTTAATGTTCTTAGATTTAAAGTAATCCATAGTTTGTTCTAACATGCAAAAGAATTTCCATTGTTGAGATTTAAAGAAAAATTCAAGGTTGTGATCATGATGAGTTAGCACATCTGATCACCTGTTTTAGCTACACTACAAATTTCAGATTGTTTAGTTGTAGAAGTAAAGTGAAACTGATAAAGAAACTCTTAGTTTTGCCTGTCATACTCACGAATTGCTGAAATTATATTTAGAATATTGCTGTATCAACAGAAAGCTTACAATCAGCCATTGGATGACCAAATAGCCAGCAACTTGGTCAGTCAGTTATTATATATATATAGATATATATATGTGTGTTTTACTGTTTGCCTTTGGGTTGTGATCTCCATGGGGATTGGTCATAAAACAGTTAACTCTTGGGAACAGTTAAAGTGTTTTTTGCTTCTTGAGATGATTTTAAATTAATGTCTTTCAGGAGGTTTAGCATGGTTCACGTATAACAAAGCTTGGATTTCATTTACTTACTTTGCCTTCCTGATCTGTTGAAGTAATTAAGTAGTGTCTAGGCAGGCAGCCTAATGGACAGGTGACCCTGTATATCCCAGAAGTGATTGATCTGTAATTTCTTCCTATGAATACAGTTTAGGATTAAGAATTTTGGGAGAAAACTTTAACATTTTGAACTTCATATTTGTAATTATTCAGAGATTTTTGCTGGTAGACCTAATACCGATATTACTGTAAGATGTAGTTTGTTATTTCTGCAAAAAAAAAAAAAAAACAGAAAAAGACTGCTATTAAATTGTAATATTTTGAACTTCATATTTGTAATTTGTAAATATTTAGAGATTTTTGCTGGTAGACCTAGTACTGACATTACTGTAAGATGTAGTTTGTTATTTCTGCCAAAAAACTCAAAACAGAAAAAGATTGCTATGAAATTTTTAAAGAGGATGAATAACATTAGCAACCATAAAGTACATTCAGAAGATCAATTGAAGAGCTTTGGGCAATTTAAGACAAAAGTTTTTCCAAAAAAAAAAAAACATTAAAGTAGACAAAAAAAAACAACATAATTTCTTGTTTGAGTAAGTTGTGAGTTTCTTGAAACTTAAACCAAACCAAAGTTTTAAGAAGAGGCAGCACTGCAGGGTTCAAAGATACCTCTATGGAAATACTGAAAAGTGGAGGTTGTTGCTGAGTTCCCTGTTTTTTTGTGTTTTCTGCCCTTTTTGTCACATGATATCATCACATGACCTCTGTCGCTCAAGAATGTTCCGTTTTTTTGTTATGTTTGGGGAGGCATAGTCACTCGAGTAACGAGGTCCGATGAGCAGATAGAAAACCAATAAAGACGAATTTTGGTCGTTACAGAGGTGTACTCAACCGTTTGACCCATTAGGATGATCAGCATCTAATTTCTCCTTAAAATATTACCTCCAACCCTTCCCCCCCCCTCCCTTATCTCACCTTAAGGTCTTGAGAATAAAGGAAATGATCTACGACTAAAGATGCCCCTGATTGTTAAACAAATTCCTCTTGTAAGCATTTAAGGTAATTTTTGGTGGAAAGTATGCTAAATATTTATACTGACTTAGGGTGTGAAGCATCAAGTGGCCACAGCTGGTTTCAGTACTTCTAAATACCAATTCTCCACCTGGAGTGCAGCTTCAACACTTTTATGATTGTTTCACTAACCATAGTTAAAAGGATGGCCTTTTTTAATTACATGCTGTTATTAGCATGACATTTATTTTACTTTTGCAATAAGGTCTCCTATAAAAGCACCCTTCATATTATCTTCATGAACCTGTTGATGAAAACAAGTTTGGTGACCCCACACTTCAGTTTTTCAACTTCAATCAGCTTTTCAACCATTGCAAAGAGTTAAAAAGAACTATATTTACGAATCAGAGCCACCTTACTTTTTTATATTACTACTATTATTATTATTATTACTATTATCATTATCATTATTATTAAAGTATGCCTTATACCTAACTGCTAGCAGATACAAAGCGCTCTCTGATTGGCCAATTTGAACAAGTAGGGCATTCTTCAACCTCGTTCTCAGGGCCCTCTCTCTTCCCCCTCGAGAAAGGAAGAAAGAGGACCCTGGGAACGAGGTTTGGCATCATTAACCACTAAATAACTCGGAAAGTGAGGTAGTTAAAGAAAATCTCCTATGCCTTGCCTTATCGACCGAGCTAGGCTGAAGTTTGGGATTTCCCTTCGTCTCGGTCCATTGAAACGCGAAAAAAAAAACAAAAACAAAAACAAAAAAAAACTCGGCCAATATCCAGCTAGGCTCGATTTCCGCCGCTCTCTCGAGTCCGGTCTTTCCTCCCCGAATAGCGGCTGGTAATCTAGCCTAATATCCAGCCATCTTGACCTCGAGCTTGGTCAGTAACGTACGTATATGCATATAATAGCTGTGAAGAGTCCTTCAACTTTCCCTTACCTCACCTCCCCATACCCCCACCGTCCCCTCCCCACCAATTCCTACCACCATGCACCAACAGCCAAAACCTTGTTAAGAATAAAGGTTTACCGAAGTTCAGAACACAACATTTCACTGGATAAAATTCCTAAAGTACAAGCGAGAAAAGTAGGGTTATCGCTGGCAGTTCTCAGGCTACAGAATTGATCTCTTGTTCAACTATAACATCAAGGGACATTTTTAGTAAGTTTGGTCATTATATCGATATTATACTCTTGATGCTCTGACGACAAAAATTATGACAAAAATTATGTATATGCCGGCATCATTGATCTGGTAAGTAAGCTGCTGACAAACAGATCGAAGCCGAGGCAGAAAATGAGTGAATGAACGACATATCGGGTCGAATGAATCTTTGATCCAAAAAATTTCAAAACAGTGACTGAAATTAAATATTAGATATAAGGGATAAAAGCTGTTAAGAATATATTTAAAAAAAGACAAAAAATAAGACGCCAAAAAATATCTTTTTCCACGTTGGACTTTTCTCCCAAAGCTGTTTTCAATTTATCTTTTTTAATAAAAAGGTTTTGATTCGCGAGGATGCACTGAACACACAAAATATCAACAATATATCGTATTTCCTCGAATAAGAGCCCACGCTAAAAAATTAAGTCCCTAAAGCGCCCCAATTAAGCGCTCACCCCATGATGGGCCATAATATCAAGCAAGCGCCCCTTACTTTCCTAAACAGTAGGGATACAAGGAAACCTGTTTCTATTGCCACTTTACTTATAACTTTTTAAGCTTCAACTTTAGCTGAATGAGTACAGGTTAAT